AGAATGAGTTGAAAGGCAACAAGAGGGGGCAATCATAAGCCTAATAAAAAGGATAAAAGAAAAATATGCTACTTGGCTGGGTCAGCTGGTTGTTTCAAAGACAGTGGTCAAAAGCCTGGAAACCATTTGGTAGTGACCTATACTCAGAGTGTCACAATGTGATATATATCATGCTGTCCTGGTCCCTGGAGTGCTGAGGACCTTTGGATGGTTTCATCCCTTAATTCTCTGAGGATGGCCTCATGACTTCTCATTCAGGCTTCCATTCTGGTTAATTAGCTCATTGAGCAAGGTTGGCCAACCCTTCCTTTAGCACTGTACTTACACATACAGTGTCCATATAATTTATTACCCAAATGGGAATACTTTTGAGAATTAACATGACACTCAGTAATTACCCTGGGACAAGAAATATAAACCAGGGTTGTTGCAGGTAAATCAGGATGTTGGTCACAAACAAAACCAAGGTCTTAGCCTTGGTTCTCAGAAGGTCAGTGCATATAACCATTGGGCTATATCTAATTAAGTCTCTCATACTCAGAGTCAAGAACTAAAATCAGGCTTTAGAAGACATTCCATAACAATTTTTCATTACTTTTCTTAGACCCATTTTTTTCTCCCTCCAAATGAAATTTTACTTGGAAGGCTAACACATAAAACAGATGGAATTTGAGCCACTCACAGTAAGGTGGGCATGAGGGCTGAGAATTTTGCCTTCTCCCCTAGCAGCTCTGGAAGTGCCTAAGAGGGACCTCTGGCTTCTCAACAAACAACATGGAAACCACCATTCTAGACCATACTCTCTCCATCTCAACATTAACTTGTTCCTCAAACACTGCCATATGATTCGTTTTGGGTAGAAAATTCTAGAGCTTGCTATTCTAGGTTTCCTGGCTCCAATTCCAGCTTGGCACACCCAGAACAAACTGGAAATCTGCAGCCTTTGTAGCAGATCCTCAAGGCCTGGCTGCTGAAGGAATGACTATGTAACAGGACCCTAAGAGCTGGACACCTCAAAGACAACTCTGCCAGCCTCTGGGTGATGTCATCGGAGGCGATGATGAGCTATATTAATAGAAATGAATGGAAGGTAAGTTGCCCTTCTGAAGACTTGGCCAGGTTCTTGGCCCAGAATAGTACTTGTAACCGCAGAAACCCACAATCTTCCCTTCATCATCCCCTTTGCAGGTCCTCTGAAGAGGGACAGGGACGGCAGGAGGAAACCCAAGCAGCTTTGGCACTTTGTGGTGGTGGTAAGGCCGGAGGAAGAAGCCTTAGGCAAGGTGGCAGGAGGGACGCATCAGGGACTTGACGAAGCATGTGTGTGACTGATGAGAACTAGATGAGGCTGATGGGGAAGCACCTTGGCTAAGAGAAAAAGCCAGCATCTAGCAGTCAGAGGTGGGCCAGGTCTTCTAAAGATATCTATTGGAAACTTTGGAGAGACAGGAAGCAAGATAATAAACAGTACCTAGCTCTACAAATAGGAGTTGAAACTACCCACAGAGAGGCAGTTTTTAGATAAACACAGACACAGTACCAGAGGATTACTGCTTATGGTCAGTCACACGTATGCGACATCCTGTCAGCACTGCTTTACTCGTCAGAGGCCGGTGCCTACCTGCTGGGCTAAGCCCACCCATTACAGTCACCACCACTCACTGGAATCGTGATTCAAGCATCTAGGAAGAAATAATTAGTCATTGGAGGCTGGCTGTATCTTTTTAAACAGATTAAATGATCATAAACATCATAGGCGTCATCTTCTAGTATAAAAAGTGTGTGATTATACTGTGTGTGTGCGCATGTGTGTGTGTGTGAGCCCCTTGTGAGGCTCTTACAGAACAGGTAATAAGGCCGACGTCAGCAATATGATCTCAAGGTTTCTTGCTTTCTGTCTTAATGAGTCTGAAGCCGGAAGCAGAAATATTTATGGAGTCCCTGGAAGGGGGCCTTGGGAGCCACTATTTTAGCCTAGTCAATATTTCTCAACCCTGGCTGCACATGAGAAGCATCTGGGGCAATCTGGAAAATAACCAATGCTGGGGCTCTACTCTAGACCAATTAAGTCAGAACCTCAGGGGGTCAGGCCCCAGCACTGATAGTTTTAAACAAGCTCCTGAGATAATTTTAATGTGCAGACAACATTGAGAACACAGCTCAGAATCTCTTCCTAGTGATTAGCTGATGTTATTCTAACACACCAAATAAGTTCAAGCTTAGACTTCAAGAAGAATTTCTTCCCCCATCCCCTGCTCCAGCACTGAAGAGAAACCCACCACTCCTGAGGTGACAGCTCTTCCTGCAACTGCCTTATTGGGCATGAAACCTCAGAGCAAGGTCTCCAGGAGGGAGCTCTTCTCAGGGTTAGCTTAACGACACTGAGACATGTCAGGAAACATTTGGACACATGCTCAGGATGCCATGTCTGATGAAGGTAGCAAAAGCTGAACAAGGCGGACCTGGGCAGGTATCTAAGTCTTGCTGGGTTTTCCTTAGTCAGAATTATTCAAATTCTCTTGGAATTTTGTTTTATATATGCAGCAACTGCTTGAGGACATCCTCCTCCTCAATAACTCACCCTCCTGTGTTATTTCTGGTACTTTTGATTATTCAATAAAGGCAACTTTTTAATATACACAGCTACTAATATTTTCAACTATCTGGAGAAATAAAACTTTCACACATTCAGCTAAATGGTCATTAATAAGGTAACGTGTCAAGCACCATATTTTTGTAACTAGAAAGAAATTTACTGTGTATTGCATATTAGTCAATGGAAAACAGAATTTCTAAAAGCACCTCGGCATCAGCTCACAATTAGATATCTAGAAAAATATGCGCAGTGGATTATACTGGAGAGCCATGAAAACACGCTGAAGACCCTGCGTGTGTGTTAAAAATCAAGGGCCCAGTGAATGACCTGAGAAGTACTTATATGACTGAGGACTCCTTGCTCATTTAGTCTGAGTCATTTGTAAAGATCCGTGCCCTTCTCCAGTCTCCAGCAAATGAGAGCTCATGCGGAAAGCTGTATTTGCACTGCCTAGTTCTCATTTTCCAAGTATAATTTTTAAACCGTCCACTTAGATCCCTAAAAGCACTGCTTGTTTTTCCATTTTCCTCTCCAGTAATTCTTTTAAACTCTCATCTCTGTGCTTGAAGTACAAGTAATCAGAAAAAGAGGGGGCCCGCCGGGCGCTCTGCAGGACCCGGAGGCCGGCACACTCGTCTCTGCGGCCAAACCCCCTCTCCTGGCCGCCCTCTGGCCTGGGGCTGTCCTGCCTCTTCGGCTGGCGGTCCCCTCGCGGCGCGTCCTCCTCCGCCTGCGCCTCCTCCCTGGGGCCTGGCTCGGGCTTGGCGGACAGGTCCTGGGGCGCGCAGAGCGGCGGGCTGCGGGGACCAAGGCCCGGGCTGTCCCGCTCCACCTCGTAGCAGTTGTCGTCGTCGTCCTCCTCGTGACCCGAGCTGCCCCTGGCGCTCTCCCCGTCCGACTGGAAGGCCGGCCCCTTGGCCCGGCGCTTCTGGGACAGGTCGAAGGGCTCCTCCTGCTCCAGGCTCCTCAGGCCCCCCGCCGTCTGCGCCAGGGCGATTCTCCCCCTTCCAAAACCTGCCGGAGCAAAGGCACGTTCAGGCCCCGGGAAACGTTCAGGCCGCGGGAAGGGTAGCTGGGTGGAACCCAGGGCCAGTTAGTGTGGCTTGATTTTACTTTTTAAACATAGATGAATCCCCAGGAAGGCTGTAGAGAGATGAGCCTTGTCACAGATGGAGTCTACGTCGCGGTATGACTCCTTTCAGGGGAGTTTGGCAACAGGCACGAAAAGCTTTGAAAATAAGCACATCTTTAACTTAGTAACTACTGGGAATTTAAACTATAGAAATAGTCTGGCAGATGTGTTATGTATGTCTTAGGATGCTCATCACCACATCCTCAACAGTGAAACTGTGAAAATAACTTATCAATTTAACAATTGAGATTTGTTTAAATAAATAATAGCACCTCCATATGAAGGTATGTGTGTAGAAGGTACTTCTCTATGTGTAGAAGATGTAGAGAGCTACTACTGATCATAAAAGGTATTCTCTATATACTGGATGTAAAAAATATATGTATTTATCATATATATTCATAGTGTAGACTCAATTTTATCTATCAAAGTGTCTGGAAAGATGTATGTCAAAATCTCAAAAATGATTAACTGTGAGGTGGTTTTTACATTTTTTTCACTTCTAATATATTTCTTCTTTTACTTTTAACAGTGGGCGTATGTTTTACCGTAAGGAAAATATAACAGTAATAAAGATATTTTCATCTTGAAAAAAACAGATATTCCATTTGGGGCCAAGGAGGCCACCCCATCACCGGCCCCCTCAGTGTAGACAGAGTAGGGAAGGCACAGGAGGGTCCTCTGAGGAGCCTGTGTCCCTGCTGTGGGCACAGTGATGTAAGAGGGTCTCGCTTTTAGTTTCAGTTTGAAGACCCTTGTAGGGGTGGACTTTTCAGCAGCCACCAGACACGTGGTAGGGCTCCCCTTGATGTGAATTGAAGGCCTCAGCCAGTGGTGAGCAAACAGTCAGGCCTAGAGGAACAGGTGGGGCGGACTGAAGAGAGAAGTAGGAGGGAGGGGTCTGGGCTGCAGCCAGACCCTGCTGCACAGGGAGAACCAGGTTTCTGGGGTGAGGATGCACAGAGCGAGCTGATGTCCAGTTCAGGGAGGATCTTTTTCATCTGCGTCATGATTTTTGAGCCATTTCAAAAACTAGAGTGAAGAAGTGCTAACACCTTTTATAGATGAAAACATTTGCGGAAAGCCTGTTAACATCTTTCAGAGCAACTCTCATATATAGTGATGCTCCTGATTTTTCCAGAAGAATGACAGTCTCTAGGTGCTTGTTAGGATCTGAGCATCCATATGGGCCAAGTCGTGGTGAGCCAGCCGGGCATTCAGCTGGAGGACTGTCTCCTCATGGCCTTCTATGTTTCCAGCCCCAGCGGCTGAGCAAACTTCACCTGTCCTGGAAAAATCCAGGCCTAACTTGGGAAGTGGCTCAGGCAACTACACATACAAAAAATTGTTCAGGAGAAAAACATTCTCAGGAAAAAAAAACTGCTTTTGTTTTTTAACCAGAACTTTTTCAGGGCTTTTGTACAAACTCCAGGCCTTGTTTTATGATGATCACAGTTTCCTGTCACCCAGGGTCACCAGAAACTCAGCGGGTGTTTGAGGAATCTGAAAGCTACAATCATTTTGTTTCATGCTGGGTGGGCAAGCATAGATCCTATTTATGAACATGGGTGCCTAGCTGACCACTTCTTTTGTAAAGGAGGTGGGAGAAGCAGCAAATATGAAAAATCACCCTGTGTTTTTACCCAGTGCAGTGAGCACTGGTTTGAGTCAGAAATTCTTGAGTGAGAAACGCTGTTCTGACTTTAGACTTGTGTTCAGCCTTCAGCAGTTTATATAACACCTCTTGGCCTTGGTGTCCTCTTACATAAATTGAGAATAACAAAGTCTGCTTTGTGGGATTGTGGGGACAAGCAATAATAGCTAAGTACATCACCCTTCGGTCATACTGGAGTCAGAAAACAGCAGCCAGTTAACACAATACTGTCAGTTGCACATCCGTGTGTCTTCTCTCCCCACACACAGACCTCCCAGAGGGCGAAGACAGTCTCATTTCCCTGGTGTCTACCATGTCATATAGCGCACTGCGTTGGACAAAGAGCATTTATTGCCCATTTACTGAAGGACAGGCCACTGAATCCAGTACATCTAGAACATAAACTCTACTGCTAAGGGCCCTGGGACCGAGGAGACAAAGGAGGCAGGAACTTTTCATCAGTTCAGTTAGGATTCAGTGGGGGAACTAGAAGTCCCTGCTCTGCTTAAGGGCTGATCAGCCCTACCAAGCAGGAAAACCATCCTTGGGTGTATCTGCGTGTAAACAGGTAGAGGAGACCTAGCCTGCTACAGACACACTTCTGCTGACAGCAAAACTTGCAGAATTGCTTTTCAGAATGCAGAAAAGTCACATGCCCTTTAACAGCAGTGATATGAAGTTGGTACAATAAAGGCTTTGGGGTCACAAAGGTCTATGTCCAAATCCTCACTCTGCTACTTATCGGTTGAGCAAGTTAATATTTCAAAGCCTCAGTTTCCCCATCTATAATATGGGAATAATAGAAGTTCCTCCAGCCCAGAGCTGCTGTAAAGACTCACAGAGACAAAGTACCTGCTGCAGAGTCTGAAACAAGGAACTAATAGTGGTACTGAATGGCATTGTTATGATATTCTGATCTACTCCCTATAATTCACTTCTACTTACTATCTTCAGATATTAGCATTACATTTGCTACAGTAACATTGTCAGCCTGCTCCTGCTACTCTGCTATGGTCTTGAAAATTATGGTCCCTTTTTCGACCATAGGAATAACCCCCCAAGGTAAAGTTCCCTAAAAGCAAGTTCAGCTTCCATTTGTGATCCACTGGCCAGGGACACTGTGGGCTTCCTGGGAGGGTGATTACCTTGAGAATGGAGGCCCCGCTCCATGACCCCGTGCTTCACTTTCATGTGGCGAGTCAGGTTCCCCTTCAGGGTGAACTTGCTCGGGCAGTAGAGGCACTTGAAGGGTTTGCTGTCAGAGTGCAGGTGCATGTGGCCCATGAGGTTGTGCATCCGGTTGAACTCCTTCCCACACAGCTGTCAGGACAGTGAGGAGAACACAGGTTACTCGGAGTTGGGGACACTGCCCAGGTAACCACACCCAGGATGTGAGGACAGACGTGCTGCCACTTTGTTTGGATCTTGGCATTTTTAAGCTGCTTCTAAAGAAAGTGTCCCCATGGAACTCAGGGAGGGGGGCTGGATTGATCCCAGGCCCAAAGGTGGAGCAGGTAGGGGTGGATTAATGAGATTTTATTCCTGTTGTACAGGGATTTTTATACTCAGGGTAAAAATTATAAAGCTATTAAAGCTTTTTTTGAATGCAACCTTTTGAAAAGGAGGAAAGCTGCTCTGAAAAGCAATTGCTCAAAATGTACTTCACTTTAATAATAAGGGTACAATTACTTGTTTAATATTTATGGAGCGTTTATAATACAGAAGGAAGGCACAGTCCTAAGTCTGCCAGGGAATATCTCCTTTAACTCACAACAATCATTTGCAATGGGTGCTGTTATCATCCCTATTGACGGACAAACTGAGGGATTAAGATGAAAGGACTAACCGAGGCACACAGCTGGTGGGTGCTGGGGCTGGGATCGTGAACTCAGGTCCTCAGACACCAGAGGCCACATGGTCAACCACCACACCATACTGGGTCCCCCCAATATAACTCTCCTGTTAGACTATAGCAGGCAGTATTTTTCTAATTTTTTAATTTGCTAATTATTGGGATGGATTTCAGAGTTAAAAGGAATGAAAATACGTGTAAAGGCAGGAGTGTGTCTTTTCTCTGGGTACAGGTTTGAAGTACTAAAAATATCATCCTAGGTATACAAAAAGCAAACATTGGTTATGCATTCTTTTTTTTTTTCATTCCTATTCCACTCCAATTGCCAATATATAATGGACCACAGCAGTGGTACGTCAGCTTCTTTGGGAAGAGCAGAGCTGCCTTTTCAAAGGCAATGTGTACAGATGCAAAGGGTGTAAATCAAACAGCTGCTCTGGGGGTCTTTCCTTGCTTTTCTTGTCCCCAAACCTCAGCAAAGCAGGGCTTGGAAACTCCAGCCTGTCCTTGGCTGTGCTGTGAGGAATGCAAAGAAGGATTTTGTGTCTGTGCTGGGCCCAGAGCATCAAGGAGGAACATACTCCTCTTTTTCCTTCCCACTCTCAGGGACCCGTGTCATGAGGGCAGCCACATGGAGTGAGAGGCAGAGGGAGAGAGGACTTGGGATGCGGTGTCCCCTGAAGCTGACACCAATTTTCCTTCCTCGCTAAGAGATGTCTTTAGGGCCACTGTTGGGGGTTCTGGGTTGAATTTTTATTAATGAAGGCAATGTTTTCTTCGGGTAGTGATGGAGGTAAGAGTTGAGCCATCCTTGGGAGTATGGATAGACCTAACAACTGTGACCTTGGGAGATTAGCCTAAAAGAACGCTGGGCAGTAAGAAGCCATCCTGGGAATACAAATTTGTCACAGATAATCCATGCATGGATAACAAATGGCTGGCTCTGTACTTTTAAATGATTCACATTTGGGAGTTTTAAGTACTTTTCCCCTTTTTACTTCCTTACAAGCAAGAATGAATTCAGCACACGGGTGTCCCACACGCATTATTCAGAGCCCCTGCACACCACATTCATTTGGAAAAGGTGACCCAAGAGGGGAAAAGCTGAGAGAGTCAGTCTAATTTCAGGAGAAAGCCCCACATGTGGGATGGATACTTGCTTCCTTTTTATTCTCAACAGAAGCAATTCATAAAGACATATCAACCTGTGGCTCAGTTTTGCACATGTTTGGAAGTTCTGGTAGAGTTCTCTTTATTAGCTTAGTTTATCCAGTTCTCATTCTGGCTAAGGAGAAAAAAAATAAAACTATATCTAGAGATTCTACATTGGGTCATCTTAGAAAAGGCATATCTCATTTGGTTCATGGGAGAGTTCCTGATTACTTGGAGTGATGATGCTGTTGGAGTTGCTGAGCTGAACAGTCCTTCAGGAGACTGCAGCATCTCTAGGTCCTTCAGTAGACTGCAGAATCTCTGAAGGTTCTGCCTGCCTTTTTGTTATAATCCCTGCCTCGTACCAGGCTTGACACATGATAGGGTCTCAGTAAGACTTTGCTGAGTGAGTGAAGGGGTGGGGCACATTGCAGCAGAAGACTAGAAAAGAGCTAAAGGTCTGGGTAGTCAAGCACAAGCCATTTAGTGGGAGAGGAACTAGAGGCTGGAAGATCAACTAGGCTGCTGCACTAGTTCAAGCCTGGACGGGTAGGCCTCCTGGTCCTATAGGCCAGGCAGAGAGAATCAAAGGAAGAAATGGGCACCTTCCTCCTTCACTGGCTCCCAGGGAGGATGACAGTCTACTTTTGGTTATCATCTGTGGTTGCTGAGATATTAGAAGCTAGATTGGTCTGAAAGGGTTTTATAAAGGAGATGAAATTTTAGCCTAACCTTGAAGAATATGTAGAGTACCTTTTGTTTTTGTTTTGACACCAGAAATAACGGTTCTTCATTAAACATTTTCAGATACTTCAATCAACCTTAAACTACAGGCAAGGGAACTGTTATTGTCGTGATAATGATCCACTGCTTGTTGCTGATGCAACTGCTGTGATGTTGGGGCAAGAGTGGATCCTGCAACTCACTCCCCCGAGGTCCCAACCCCCTTCCCCCTCGTCGACCCACCTCCACCCCAGCACACACAGGGGTGTGCACACATCATGAGGTCTCCTGCTGGGTATTTTCCAGATTCTTCCTCATCTTAGACAGGGAAACTTCCATGATCCTTTATCATAGCTTTCTCCTGTTTTTCTGGATTGATTCATTCAGTACTGGACTTCCTGGGGCATTTTAGTGGCGTATGGGGACATCAGGATGTTTTATCATTTTAATAAATGATATTGTTCCCCGAAGTCAAGGCCTATGGCCTCAGTGAAGAAACTCCATTGTGGGACATGGCTGGTCGGCTATATTATCTGATGCTTGATTGGTAAAGGAGACTAATTTCATTGTTGATAAAATTTAATTTTTATATGCCAGAGTTATCCTTCATGGTTCATGGTAGCCTACTGGTAGCCAATGGAGAGCCTTCCCAGGGCCAAGCAACAGCATGCCAACCCTGAAAGATGTTTGGGACACTAAAAGGTGTCCCAGGTAGTCTACAGAAATGTAAGGATTACCTTCTTCTTCTTTATGGCCAACCCCAGTATCAGGCACAGGGCTACACATATAGTAACACTTAATGAGTATCTGAATATATGGTTAGGAAATAAACAACCAAGTCAGGAAAAATATCACTTCCTCATGCAAAAACTCCACAAAGCAGCCATCACCAACTCTCTTCCTTGCTCCCACTAAACCTATACCCACTAGTTTGCAAACCAAAATCCTCAGTGGCAGAAGGATAGAGACAATTAACTCAGGACCTGAAGCACTTGGACACCAGTCATCTGTCAGTAGTAGGTACCCTTAGCCACTTCCTCTCAGCCTCTGACTCTTCCACAAAGCCTTTGGTCCTTATCCAAAACACCTGGCCTCTTCATCTTTCTCAGAAGATTGACCTCACTTGATAGTACACAAAAATATGGAGATACTTTGTGCCTGTGAAATCTGGAGCGGCCCCTCAGTCACTGTTAGTGACAAGGGGCCAGGACAAGAGGATTGAGTCAATTAAAGATGGCACCCTTGGGTGGAGTCTAGTGTGAGCTCCAAGTAGAATCGTCCAGGAAGTAGAGGAGGGGAGTTAGATGGGAAGGAAGAAGAGTTGGGAGGAAGCATCAGAACTTGAGTGTCTTCTTCTGGGAAAAGCAGTCATCTAAAAGGCCCCTTTCATCATAAGATGTGAGACTAAGAGCTTGCCCAGGTCAAGACTTGCTGAATCACTTCCTGCCAAGGTCTGTGGAGATTAAAGTAAGGCTAGGTGCTGGTACAGGAAGCTCATGGAGTGATAAGCAGTCAGATTTCATCTCGCAGGTGGTTGTCGCAACCAGTCCACCCCTCTTGAACTCTTAGCTGCTCTAATGAGAAGGATTAGTTCGCCTCTGACACTAAATATCAGCTTTTCCATCTAGGCCCACTTTTATACCTATTTTTTGAGGGAGGTGGAACTAAAATGCAGCAGAAGAGTGGAACAAATGTTTTGAACTGTCCTTTAAAAATGGGTTGCACAGATCATTAGGCTTTGAGACAGCAGAGCAGAAAGGCGATGGTGAGACCCCAGAGGAACAGAGAACTTATTCCGTTTTCTCTACTGTAAAATGTCGACGATGATCACAGTTTTCACAAAGGTTTTCATAAGGATCAAATGAGATAATTCATATAAAGGGCTTGGCAAATAGTAAGAGCTCAATAAATATTAGCTCTTATTACTATCATTATCATGTACATTTTGCATTCCAAAAATAGAAAGCACTTTGATGATGAGGGTGCTGTCTTTTTAAACGAAATTACGTGGAAGGAATATTAAGGAAGGAACAAGTGAAGAATCCTTTGGGTAAATACCAGCCAGGTTACTTGAGGAATAAAGGAATGGAAGCAGTGGTGCCTGACACAGCCCTGGGAAATATGGATGGAAAGAGAAGGTTCATCCAGATTGCAGGCTTTGAGGAGCTCATCATCTGACTCTCTGATTTTCTGTCAGCCCTTTAAACAGTGGACAGATTCTCTGTCCTCTTATCTTCACAGAAGCTCCTAATTCTGGCCTCCTGGCACCCCATCTCTCCCCGGTCCAGCGCCTTGAGGCACCTCAAGCAACTTCCCTTGAGTCCCAGCGACAGTGCTGATGGCCAGAGTCAGGGAGAAGTCGCTGTGCACAGAGACAGCGTGATGGCAGTGGGCATCCACTGGGCTGGGGCCAGGGGCCCACCAAGCCAAGAAGAGGCAGGCTCCTGAGACAGCGATGCACCAGGAAGCTTGTGTTTTCCTATTCTGAAAGAAAAGGTCAAAGAGCTGCAGCCTGCAGCCGCGGAGAATGGCCTCCGCTAAACTGCCCTTCCCTTACATTCTTCTCTCTCTCTCTTTTAATAAGAAGGGTGTTCCTTTCCTCAAAGGGAGAGAGAGGGAGGGAGGGAGAGAGAGACTGTAAACTGTCCAAAAGGACCGTGAGAAAACAGGAAGCTTTGAAAAGTACAAGAGAAAGCAAGATGAAATCTATTTGCAGGCGGGCCCCTGGGGACATTGCGAGGCATTGTTAAGCAGGCAGTTCATACAGCTATATCCTTCCTTCTGCTGAGGAGGGCTTTGCTGCCAAAAGGCTGCTATCTGGTCACTGCCTTAACCCCCTCAATGCCAGCCTGAGAACCCAGATCTCAAGCACTGGGCCCCAACATGTCCCCACCCAGTTTCTCCCCTGAGGGAGCATCCAAGAGCTGGAGGGGGAAATGGAGCCAGTTTGGCAGAGGTGGTGGGGACTCTTTTCAGGGAGACCTCATCCTTTTCTCTCTGCTCTGCCCTCAGCCTTCAGGCCTCCGCTTCAGGCCAGGCTGCAGATGACCTGGTGATTCATAACACAGGCAGCTCCCGGCTTCACCCATCTCAAAGGAGAACTTGTCCCGGAAATTCTGGATGGCTGCTTTTCCTGGACAGCTTTTCCAAAGACGGCAGCTGGTTCTTTGCTATTATGGAGTGTGGCCACTACAAGGATAGCATCCAAATCAACCCCTGCGTGCTTACGCAGAATCTGGGAAGCATATTTCAGAAACATGGCTTAAGTCTACAGGCGCAGGTCTCTGGATAAACTCCAGCTGGCTCCAAGAAGCAAGGAGTCCAGAAGTCGAGCCAATAGCAAAAGAACCCAGAAGGGCAGTAACTTTTTTTATAAGGAAAAAAAAACAATATAGAATGGAAACCTTTCCTCTCCTCGAATTTTCCATCCTATTGTTAATGCTTAATCCCACAGTAAACGAATGTTTCTGCTTGCTGTGGACAGCTGTTTCCACTGAGCAAGGGCCAGAGAGAACCAGTTCATGTGGCCACAGTGGGAGGGATTTATGTCAGGAAGGACTTTTAGTGGTGAGAATCCCAAGAAATTAAAATCTGTTACTTAAAGACTCTCCTTTTTTTGGCCAGTTTTGGGGTGAAGGAGATGGCCAGCTCTTAAGAGTATGGCTGGAGCAAGGCCTGTCTCTTTTTTCAAGCCACGTCAGTCATGTAAAGGGAATAACTCTTCCCTGTCACTGCGATAAAGCTCAGGTTCAATGGTCTGTGCCATTGTCACTCCAGTGTCACTTTGCAGCCAGCCAGCCTGCCACTCATCTCTGAGGGAGGTGAACTGCCTGGTGATAAGCAAGTGGCCCTCCATTCATCTCCCCACTCTGGACCCCAGCACCTCCACCCAGGGCCAGATTTCCAAGAGTCCAGCACAACACAAACAAGAAGCAAAGTCGGTACGCAGGATGCCATTTGGAGGTAGCCTATCCCACAGTGGGATCTGGAGCTAGTTTACAAACACACAGGGTCCCGTTACATATCTGTAAGTTAAGACATGCTCCAAAATTCCTTTGAAATGAAGAGGGGTGATGGTATGAAGAGGACACCAAACAGGTGGCACTTCACAGGGTGATGGGGACAAAGAGAGGAGGAATCTGGCGGTATGCTTCTGTAATCACCAGGAGACAGAGGGCTCTGATGGGGGTGATTTAACACCTGTTCTTGTTCAGAAATGTCTAGGAATGGAGAAGGACCACTTAAGTTTGACAAACATACACTTTAACATCCAATGCTTTTTGTTCAATGATAGATATACTTTCCTAAGCAGCCTCCGACCTCCTGTGATCTCCTGTGAGGACCTGCCCACTGGGAAGAAGTGATGTTTGCCAGATGACAGGCCATTCCCAGGGCCAGGCCCACCTCCCAGGGGGCGCTGAACTGCATAATTTCAGAGCTGGCATTTCAGCCCTTCTCTTACGGGGTTGGATGGTATGATCAGACATCCGGAGCCTAATCCACCCTCAAGGACAGGTCAGACTGAGTTTCTGAACCGTAAAGGTGACCTTTAGACGTCACCTTTGGACGTCTTGGAACCATCCATGGTGCACTGTCATTGGGGTGAAGGGCAGCCTGAAACATCATGTTTACTTGGCTTCCTACATCACTGGGCCCATCATGTGCCATCTTCTGTGCACTGGTACCAGAGAGAACCCTCAAAATCCTCGGGGATTCCTTGTCCAAGAAATCCTCCAGGTCCCTCTGAGGCCCTTGGCCTAGAGAAATAGAACTGCCTCTGTGCCCCTACATCGCACACAACCCCAAATTGATGAGGGAAGTGGGAGCTGGTCAGCCTGGACCGAGGTGGATTTTTAGGGGACTACAAACTCAGTGACTCCCTTCTTATTTTAACACCTTTACATGCTCTACCACCAGCTGATAAGATAAAAAGTACAGTTGATGCTCAAAGCCCAAGGGTAGACTCAACACAAGGAATGAAGAGGAGAAAGGAGCCCCTGATTACAACTGTATCGTAGGGGACAGTAAGCCCCTGCCAGGCAAGAATGTCTCTGTTAAAAGTGAAGGGTTCAAAGGGCTCAGTGAGGCAGGCAGGAGTCAAAGTTGTGCCTAAAGGGTGGGAGAAGAAGTGGTCTGTGGTCCCCCAGGCTCGCGCAGCCAGGCCTGGCTTCATGGGTGTGCGGCCTGTGCAGTCCTACGCCGCCTTGACCTCAGAAGGGCCCCAGGGGTGTTGTAATGCTCTCCTTTCACTGTCTTAAAATTATGAACAAGGGGCCCCTGCTTTCATTTTGCACCAGGCCCTGTGAATTGCGTACACTGTCCTGCAGGCAGCTTCCTCCCTCTTTAGCTCAGATGACTCAAGATGGACATAAATTGACTTTCAAACCGCGGGGAACCTGAAGGAAAGGAGGGGAAACACAAGCGGGTGGCAGGAAAAGGGCTGGAGGGAGAAGCCTCCCTCCCCCACCTCCGGAGAATGCCTGCAAGGGCCTAGGGAAGCGCTGGCTCCTGACCCCTCTCACCCCGTCCAGGAGTCGCCAGCACAGGAAAGAAGTCCCTTCACAGGGGGTTCCTTCAAGTAGGGGGACACGCTGCAGAGGGATTAAGGCAAGAACAGCCTCTGGAGGCGGGGAACCGGACTTCAGAAACAGGGATCCCCATCAGACACACAGCACAGAGAGAGGGAAAACGTCTATTTCAAACAGAAAGGCTGTAATGATATCTGATCGTGGGGACTTCTCTCTGCTTCCCCCTCACCCTCCTCATGACTGCAATGACCACGCCTGCCCATCCATTCCTTGAATTAAACCACCCAGTCCTGAGCAAGATTCCTTCCCACCTTAGAAGTGGAGAAGGGAAACTGTGGAGAAGGGGCCAGCCTGGGAAGCCGGAGTATTTCTGAGTTAGACCCTCCACACCTTGGGCCTTACAAATCTCCAGCTCACACTTTATCTCAGTGGGTGAAATAAAAATTCCACCAAGTTAATGTGACACAGAGATCACAATGAAGATGCTCCCTGAAATTCAGGAATAAATGGGAAACGTGTTAGCTGACTATGCTCACAGTTGTTCCTCAGCCCAAGCAAACATTTCTGAGGTCACCTGGGGGGTGAGTCTTGGGATACCTGCCCTCAAATTACACTTGTCAGCCCAAGTGTCAGGAGGGCAGGGGTAAGGGAAGGAGGGCAGTGGGAAGGGAGGAGGGCAGGGCTGGAAGCTTCTCTGACTCCTCTCTGTGTTCTACTCATTGGCTGGTAGGGGAAGAGGGCCCCTGACTGCTTTGTTCTAGAACAGGAGCTCTCCACATCACCTTCATCCTTTGTGGCTAAAGGACCTCATTCTCCCAAGGGGCCCTCCACCCTCAGCCTTCCCTGTTGTAGCTGCCTTCAAGCTCTGTGCACTGATTACACAGCAAGACAAACAGGGCGGCTCTGAGGGCTCAGCTGAGCACAGAAGTGGAGGAGAGAGGGACAGGGCAGCAGATGGGCCTGGGGTTGGCTGCAGGCCTACTCTGAGCCTCAGAGGCCCCTCTGATGAGACTGAGTAGAAGGTTCCCACTGGCATTTGCACAGCTCTCTGAGCCCTCCCTATGGCACTCCTCCCTGGGCCCACCGCCCACCTTGCATTTGAAAGGCTTCACGTCCGAGTGGACGATCATGTGCGCCTTGAGGGTTTGTTTCTGCACAAAACTTTTGTAGCAGAGGTGACACTGGTAGGCACGGATGTTGGTGTGGATCAGCACGTGTCTCTTCATGTTGGCCAGCAGCGTGAACTCCCGCCCGCAGATCCCACATTTGTGCTCCTTCACACCCTGGAGGGAGGCAAGATCAAAAGAGCCGAGATTAGCAGGGAACAGGCCTTCCCCAGGACAGCAGCCTTCACTTTCCTTCGGAAACATAAATCCACAAAGAACTTAGTGACAGATATTGAGTTCCAAATGGTGTGGCTACAGCCTTGTTAAATTATTTTCTTAAGAAGTGTTGATTACATAATCTTTTTTTTCTTCTAAAAACCATAAACTAGCCAGACCGTTAGAGGAACAGAAAGCTATCGCTTTGCTGTTCCTGCTGCTGCTGGGGTTAGTTCCACCGTAACAGTTCTCAGGGATTAGTAGGATTTTGGTAAGAGCTCCATGGTCTGGTATGTGAAATGAGTCTTTAATCCAGCTTTCATGATAATGAAAAAACAAAACCTCCTAAACTGATAATATCATTTCCAATAGGAAAACCAGTGTTCTCTTTAGTTCTCATTAATGGACTTGAAAATCCCAGAACAAAAACTCACATCCACACTTTAAAAAATTACAACTTGTTAATCATCTCTTGAAACGGTCCCCTGGGTTCCCACAGGCCATAGTGGCCTCTGTGTGATTTGGCTTTGGAGCCTCCTCCAAACAGCTTCTGTCTGATAGAGAAATTGGTAGAGGATAGCTTTCCGAATTAGAAAACAGGAAAGAAGGAGGTTTTTCTAGGTGCTTTGCTGTTTGGGAGAAGTGTTTGAGTACTTAAGCATCGATGCCCTCAGTTGAAAGCATTTCCAGGGACTCGGCGTGAGTGGAGTACTTCCTAACCCTGACTAACTAGTGCTTCCCTAAAAAGGCCTTTGCAAGAGATCTTGACCCAGAATGATTTGTTGGAAGGAAAACTTAGAGAACCCTGGAATTAAAACTAAGGTTACTACAGGTTTAGAATAAGTCGTTTAGCTAACCACTATTTCCTATAAAACCCACACTACCTGGTGTCCATAGTGGCCTAAGGTGGGAGGGTTTCCAAGGTTCTCTCTGCCTATATATCCATTTCTATAGTTTGGGACACGGTAAGAAAGTATCACTTCTCAATTCAGGTGAGCCCACGGCACTAAAGGGTGAGTTCATTTCTCTGTCCAGCCATTTACTGGCTGCATAAACTTAGAAAGTTCTTGTGGCCTTTCCTGGTGAAGGCTTCCTTCTCTCAAGATGAAGTGGTGGGTCATGAGAACCCGGGGATTCTTTCCAACTGGACTACTGTCTAGTCTAGATAATTGTAGATGAGTATGGAGTTATGCTAATGAATAAATCTAAATTTTAATGTGCTCTAAGAAGATCAATTTTTTTAATGTGTTGCACAGTCAAGCAGTGAGTTTAAAATTATGAAGTTAATGAAAACTATTTTCTTGATGGGCTTTACAATTTGTTTCAGCATCTTTCTTCTCCAGATTGTCTGTGGCTACGAGCCAGCTGTCCTGGGACTAAGCAGAAGTACCTACTTATCACTGTTTTTGGAATTCTCTAAAGAGAATTGTGTCCAAAGTAAAATTCATGTGTGGGTTGGCCTAGAACTCAAGTAAATGGGAGACTGGACACAACTTTGGGAACAAAGGAAGCTGCTATGTCTTTAACAGAATCAGTGAAACCACAGAGAGGGGGCTTGCAGAGTTGCTGAGGTGAAGGGAAGGAGGGGGTGGAGAAAGGGGAAGTCTTGACGGTGTTCAAGAGCAGAGATACTGGAGACAGAGATTCTGGATGACTTCTCCATACCTTGGCGTCTTTAACTGCAAAACTTGAGTCATGATACCCACGGCTAGCACTTTGGGTTGCTGAAGAGGATTACATGAGAAGTAGAGCACCTGGCACATAGCAAGTGCTCAACAAATACTACTTCTCACTGTTTGCGGATACTTTTAAGTAAAATGCATTTTGCTTTCTAATTCAAATGAGACCTGTTTCAGATACCAGGCTGTTTCCTCCACTTTGACTTTTTTTGTTTTTACTGTCTGAAAGAATTTTCGTATGTTCTAAAATGTATCTCTCTCATTCCTTTTCCACACATGGAGGAGTCCCTGAAATGAGCATATGGCTTCCCCAGTGGCTGACTCTCAGTTTAGGCTCTTTCTTGATGGCTCCTGTGCTAGGCAGGCACCTCCTAGCTGGAAAATGCCCCGTGCTAGGCCCTAGCCTATCAGATGAAACCCACAATGCCAGAGAAGAAATGTTATCCTGGCTGGGCAAAGCCCTCCACTGAACTTTCAGAATGAAAGAATGTTTTAGAAACTCCAGCTTGCTAGAAGTCTCTCCTGCCAGGAAAACCACTTGAGGTCAAGGGGGTGAGAGTAGAGGTCAGTGGGGCAAACTTCCCCTCTCGGAAGCTGAAAGCAGACCAAGCTTAGCTGAGTAAGATTTCAGGACTGCGCTGGGACCCTGTATCAGTTCACCCTGAATGACTCCAGGGCTTTGGTTGCAAACTGGGCTGAACTTAGACCCGTGGGTGTATATTTCTCCTTGAAGACCTGAGTTTGGGAAAGATAAAACCAAACCCGATGGATGAGAAGGCTCTCTCATGCCCCCCTTATAAACCACAGAGCACTGGAACCAACTAGGCAGAGGGTCAATGGGGGAGGCACAGGCCCTACTGGGCCCTCCAGGCTTCATTCCCCTCAGTGCCACCTGCAAATGAAGCAGCTGATGGAGAAAATAAACCAAAAGGTAGACACTGCTTCAGCTGACAAAGACCAAAAGAATTCTCTAGGATTCTCTAGAAGAAGGCTTTGATTAGTATCTCCTAGGAAAGCTGGGTTTGGGTAGATAGGGGCTGATGACACACTCATGCTAGTGCCACGGACGAAGTTTCCAGAAACAGAATTTTAGGGATTCTGAGAGGCTAAGAAGCAACAGCACAAGGACCAGCTGTTCCCTTCATCCTTCCTCACCCCCTCTCCAAACCATCTGCATTATTTATTTCCAGGCCCACTTCAGACTCTAGAAGGCTAGAAGGAAAAGGGCTTAAAGGCTAGTCTCCTCCTTCTGCCCCATTTCAAGGCGAGGAAGGCCATCAGGGCGCAGACAAGAGAAGCCTCCTGCCATGTGAGCGGTGGGGAGCAGCACAGGCCTGCCGGGCCCTCGTCCCCGGGGCTCTGCTTTTCTTCCTCGGGGCCCGGCCAGCCCCGCCCGCTCTGGGGCCCCCGCACTACCTTGTGGGTGAGGGAGTGCTGCTTGAGGTGGTGGGGCTGCACGAACTCCATGCCGCACTCGGAGCAGATGTAGGGCCGGATGTCCTTGTGCTTCATCATGTGGTTCTGCAGCTGGCTCGGGTACTGGAAGGTCTTGTCGCACTCGGAGCAGTTGTACTGGATGGGGCCCCGGTGCGTGGTGAGGTGCCTCTTCAGCTGGGCCAGGGTGGGGAAGTCGAGGCCGCACTCCACACAGATGTTCTCCCGCCCGCTGGCGTGCTTGGCCTCGTGGGCCTTGAGCTCGCTGGGGTAGGCGAAGCCCCGGCCGCATACGCGGCAGTTGTGCGGCTTCACCTCGCTGTGCTGCATCATGTGGCGCTTCAGGTGGCTGGTCTGGGTGAAAGCCTTGTGGCACACTTGGCATTTGTGGGGCCGCGTGCCCTGGTGGGTCAGCATGTGGGTGTGCAGGTGGCTGAGCTGTTTGAAGAGCTTCCCGCAGCGGCTGCACGCGTGCGGCTTGATGCCGCTGTGGCCCAGGATGTGGGTCACCAGGTTGTACTTGGAGGTGTAGGACTTCTCGCAGGTGGGGCACTGCCAGCGCTTCTGCGCGCCGCCCACGTCCACGTAGTAACTGTCGTCGATCTGCACGTTCACGTCCACCCGCTCCACCTTCTGCTTGGTCTCCTCGCTCTCCTGCGGCTCGGCTTTGCGGGGCAGCAGCGGTTCCGGAAGCTGCTTGGGGAGGAAGGTGTGCCGGCTGAAGGGGAAGGGCGAGGCCGAGGGCACGAAGAAGGGGAACACGAGGCCTGGGGGCACTTTGGGGTAGCAGGGGTAGGGCGTGGGAAGGAACGGAGCGGGTGTCGGCGGGGGCCACATGGCGCTGGGCTTCACCGGCTCCTGCTTGACGGCCTTGCCCCCCAGGTGCTCCAGGGTGCGGTAGAACTGGAAGCCCACGTTGCACAGGTCGATCATCCGGGAGTCGTACTTGGGGCGCGGTGGCTGCGGGAAGAGCAGGGGGAGGTCCGGGGGGCGCCGGTTCTTGCTCTCCTCTGGGTGCAGGGCAAGAGCAGCTTCTTCCGCAGGGTGGTTATAGGGCATCTTGGTGGGCATGCTCTTCCGTTTGCGAGACCCTCCTCCTTCAAAGACCCCGGGGAATCCGTCTAGGTCTCCTGGAGGAGGCTCATACCTGAACTGGGAAAACGGCCCCCGGAGAGCTTCCGGGAAAGGGTGTCTTGGGGGAACTTTTCCTCGGGAAGCCACTGGCTGCAGGCCGTGGGGAAAGGAGGGAGCCCTCTTCACACCCAAACTGAAATGCACATCCTCATCTTTGACCATCTTCATTTCCTTCTGCATCCTTGACAATTTTCCTTTAAAGAGAAAAACTTACTGTTAAAAAAAATTTAAAAATCCCCCTTTCCATTAAGGGTTTTGGCTAAATGTCAGTACTAATTTATGAAAAGTAATAGTTGTTTAACACCGAGTCTCATTTTATCCTAGGGCTGTTTAAAATACCACCTCGCCACCCCCCCTCCCCGGGCAAACCTGGTTACTAATGTGGAAAGCACTGGCCCCCTGGAGTGGGGCCCTAGGACTCCAATGTAAATCCACGGTCACAAAATCATAGCTGGGGTCGGGTTGGGTATGAGTGGGCTGGACTGGGAAGAAATCCAAGAACCTACTGAGCCATTATCCCCATTTAAGATGAGGGTGCCAAGGTCCAGAGAGGAGTGGCATGCTTGAGTCCCACAGCTACTCAGTGCACAAGTCAGAACTGGGACACGTTCTGTGACTTTTCAGCCTGAGATGGAATTGTAACTGCCAGTTCATGATATAAATGTCTGTTAGGGTCATTTCTTCTCTGAGTGAACTGATTTCCACCACTTCTCCCTGTCTAGGGAACTTTGCTGCTGGGGGATCAGGACACTTACGGCCACACAGGAGAAGGGACTTTACTGCTTAGTTCAGATCTCAGACTTTCTGAGTATCCACCCCTAGCAAGGGGGTTGCTGGGGTATATGAAATAGATGAGATCAATGTGATTAAGAAAAGCATATAATCCAATGTTACAAAGTCAACCTGTCAATGTATACATTCTAATCTTCCAAATGAAGCAACTTCAGGAGGAAAATTCCAACACTGTGAGTCTCTAAAACTGCACATTTTGTCTCCTCCTCCACGCAGATGTCAGAATAAAGCTCTGTTGGTGACTCCTGTGGTACCTGCTATTTCCCTGCTGAGCCAGTTACTGTGTCCTGGTGACCACGTCAGGTCTGTCTGGGAGAGCCTGTGGGGCCAGAGTCTAAACCAAGGCCATGCTTCCTTTCACGCTTTTCCTTGCCAGTTTTCTGTCCTCTTCACATGAATACAGGTGGGAAAGAGCCACATGGTTGACTTTACATTTCCAGTGAGGACCCTTTCTGCCCAAATTCTCTGAGCTTGAATGAGATTGGTCCCCTTTGCTTGGAAGAGGCTCCCACAGACCCAGTCAGCCAGGCCAGGCATCAGGTCTGGCCTCAGGCCACTGGAGACAGGGCTGGGATAGGTCCTGGACTAACTCTGGCTCCTGGGAATGACTGCAGAATGAGAGGTGAAAGGTGAGGGTGCTAGGGCTAAGAGGGCCAGTTGATTTCCTATAGTTCCTAATGAGACAAATGCAGTTTTTTTTCATTTAAAAAATTTATTTATGTACTTATTTTACAATATATATTTTAAAATTGAAATATAGCTTTTTTTTCCTTTTTAAGACAAATGCAGTGTTTATAAGTCTCTGGATATTCCCAAATCACATGTGGGTCTTTATGAGACGTTTGAGAACTGTAGCACAATTAAAACCAAAATGGGTCTTTTTATATTGGATTATCAATTCATACACAAAAATCCAATTGAGAAAAAAATGTGCCCTTATTATATGAATATTTGGGCATTATTTAAAACTGTTGTGTGAAAGTGTTAGAGAACTAAAACATAACGTCTGTTAGTCTTTGCTTTGTGTTATGTGAGTGAGAAGATAGACCTGGCTTATCTTCTTCCCATGGGTTTGAGGACTTTGACTGTCAGAAAAAGGGAGGTCCAGCCCTGTGTCCTGTCCTTCCTCTGCTTCTTCCTAAAATTCTTACTGAAATTCTAGTTCTTCCACCACTGCTGCTTCAAGGACCAGGCACTTGTAGGAAGTGATGAGAACAGTAGGAGAATGAAATGTCTAGCTTTGTGAGTCAGGGAGGGATGTGGGGACACTGTCTAAATGAGGGGAGTGGTGCTGATGCTATGAAGGGAACAGGATGAGGATGGAGAGGGCAGAGGCTCTTGGATGATTTTTCGTGTTTAATAGATCCTCTCTTGACTCGCAGTTCATTAGGTCCTAAGCCCTAGATTCATATACGTTTATAGAGGGGGTGGCCCTGGTCCACGAATTTGTTGCATCTTTAAAAATAACTGGCTTTCAGACAAGGCTAATGTGTCCTATTGGAATAAAGGAGGAAAATGGGAGCTCCTTTCTCTGGAATTTCACTTTGGCCACTGTTACTTGTATATCCCCTTTGGAGATAAGATGCTATTTGCAAAAAGGCTGCCCAGACTGGAGAGAACTCTTTCAGGCTATAAGTGACTATGGCAATCCACAGCAGAGCCCATCCAAATGCAAATAGGTTCTGTTTTATTCTGATCTGGTTTAAAATGGCAGTGATTCCTACTTCATATTAGAGAGCTTGACTAGAGAATTAGTTAAAAAGAGACCTATCAGAACATAAGGCATAATTTACTGAGGTTTTTTGTGCATTTTATTGTTAAAAAGTTGTTTGAAAGTGCATGGCTAATGGTGTCTGGTATCTTTATACCACATGCTGTATCATACCGGAAAGCTACTTACTTGGAAAGGAATGTTATCACTAATTTTGAAACTGAAGGTATTTCGGTGTATGCACATTATTATTGTCTTTGTTTAATATTTTTATTTTTAGTTGTGACATAGTCTAAATAATTGCCTCATTTCAATATATTAGGAGTGACACACTTCTAATATAATGCTAAATTCAAAATATTTATTTTCAGCATTTGCATTTTCATTCTGTCCCCACTGACCTAGCAAAGCAAAGAAACATTGTTGAACAGAGACAATGTATTTTTTAACATAAATGGCAGAATTATGTCCCCCAAATCCGGAGCTACTTATGTACAATTTAATTTCCCCCTAATTTAATATGATAAAAATTTTCCCCAGTTTCTGACTTGTATATGTACATACCCCAGTTCTAAAATAGTAGTCTGCCTGCTCTAGAGTAAGATCAGTAAGTCAAGAGGTTTCAAAAAACATTGAGATCCATCCATGGACACTTTCCCAGACCTGTAAAACAGCAGTCCCTTTCTGCATAAATATCTTAAGGAGCACTGCCAATCCCTACAGAGGTCAAGGAGAACTAGATCTACTTCCCCCTGAGCTTCTTGAAACATAAACCAGCTGTAGCTGCTGCTAGTTATTAATATCTCTGTCATTTGACCGCAGGGTGCCAGGGAGAGCCCTAGGGGGTTAACGAACTACACCTAAAAACCAAATCCATGTTGGTGGTGAGAGCGTCAAAGGGAAGAGCAGGTAAAGGATGCCTTCCTCAGGACGTCATTTATCTTAAAATCAGTCCACTTAAAACGCTGAAAGTCCTCTGCAAAAAAATATTAACAGACTCCTAGAAAATCTGAATATGTGCCACCAACGTGCTCCACAGGGATCCATGACAGATGCAGGACTCCTTTGCAGAAGGCAGGAGAAGCTTGGCGGCAGCGATGATCTGGTCAGGGAAGGGAGTGTGGGAACCACAGGCCCTCCCCCTGGCCAGTAATCTGTGGCCACTCCCAGAAACCCAGCAGGTTAGAAGACAGTTCCCCACCAGGATGTGCTGAAACAATATGCAAAAATAAAGAACTGAAATTGTCAAAGTAGATAGCTATGGGAGAGTGCAGAGAGCATTGATTTGGAGTCTGAGGATCTGGGTTTGAATGCTGGCTTTGTGTGAGCAGATGTGGGAAAATGAGCAAGTTAATTTGGATGTTTGATTTTCTCATCCATGTAATGGGGGTTGGGGTATCCCCATGAGATTGTTGGAGACTTAGAGTGTGTCTGTGAAAGTTTGTTAACACTGGATTGGGTGGTGCTCTTGGTGGGTAAGAAAGAACAGATGGGAGAGGGGAGCTTGGGCTGGGGGTGATGATCAGTGGATTGAAGCCAACTGACATCATCTCTGTTTTCAAGCTGAATCTCTTGGTCAACAGTGACTGGCATCTGGGCCTCCTCAAAACCAAAACTTTACCCATTTACCCTGAGTTTGTCTTGTCACAGCAGTAAATGTGAACCAATCAAAGAGGCCAGCGGGTAAGGCCAGGATGAGTTTATTCAGTGCAGAGATCAGCCTTCTAGTTTAAGAACACTCCACCATCCTTTCTCTATGGCTCTTTCCTATTCCAGAGATCTCTTCGCACCTATGTTCATAACACAAGACTTTGGTTACAAAAGGGACTGAGGATTGGGTGGGGACAAAGGGGAGTGGGTGGTCTTATGAGCTATTTCAGCCAGCCTGTAGGAAGCTGAGGAGTTGCCCCTAGTCTAATATCAGAGGTCACTCTCCTGAAGACAAGAGGGCTTATTTGTCAAACCCAAAGCTCAGATACTGGGACAGTCAGTCAGTGCTGGGTCAACACTGGCAAACCTGCTCTTGCAATTCCTGCTGGACTACGAGGGCAGAGATCGGGTCTATTTGATTCACTGTTGGGTTTCCAGTCCCCAGCATGATGCTTGGTACAAAGTAGATGCTCAGTAAACTGCTATGAGATGAAAGGAGGAATGAGTGGTTTGTTTTTAAAGTTTCCATATGGAACTTTAAATGTTTAATTCTATTTTACATTATTTAGATGGTAAGTGACTTTTGGGGGACATCCTTAGTTAGCTCATAAGCACAATAATAAATTCTCAGGTAGTTATTGTGGGGAGAACCCAATATACATACATTGTGTGTGCTCTTGTTTGGTTCAGTTCCCAAGGGCACCAGTCTCTGAATTGACCCTTGGGTTCAGGGTAAGCCCTAAATCCTGGATATACTAAAACTAGGGTACAAGGTTCTGGAACCCAGTCAGAAAACAGATGCCTGACAAGTTCAATGGGAAATAGAGGACAGAAAGAAAGACCCCTGGATTGAGACGGTGAAACATAAACCAGGGGTATGTGGTCACCCTGCACTCTCCCACCCAAAGAAAATGTTTCACAAGTTAGTAGCGGTGTCCTGCTTTGTACTAATGTGCAGGTGGAGAAAGGGAGAGGTCTTAGAATAATCATGCATATTCATTGCTATAGTCAGAGAATATTCCAGGCTTCCTCGTGTATACT